GTCTCAGTCTACTACTTTTTCTTTTCTCAGTACTGGGGATTGAACTCGGAACCTTAAACTTGCCCGGCAAGCACGTATTCTACTGAGCTATCTCCCTGGCCTGATGAGCTTCCTAATGGATCTCAGAGCTAAATGTAAAGGGAAAAGTCAAAAGCTTCTAAAAGATAACAGGAAAATACCTCTACCGCTTGAGTACAGGCAAAAATTTCTTATGAAATATATTATAGTAGACTTAATTACAAATTAAATCTTCTGAGCAAAATACTACACTGAGGAAATGCAAAGGCAAGCTACAGACTTCAACAAAATATTTGTAACACGTGTGTCTCACAAAGCGCCAGTGTCTACAATGAATAGAAATCTATAGTGCAGTGGTGGTTTGTTGTTTGTTTTTAGCAACAGTGATCAAACTCAGGACCTTGCACTTGCCAAGTGTTTCTTTGTTTGTTTGTTTCATTTTTGTTTTGTTTTGTTTTGTTCTTTAGACAACCCAGTTGAGAAATTGTTCAAAAGATGTGAATACATTCCTTATAAAGAAGATCTACAAAAGCCCAGTGGCATTATATTAGTCATCAGAGAAAGGCAAATTCAAGCCAGAGCATTACTAAAAATAAAACAGCTGAAAATAACCAGAGTAGCTAAAAATAAGACTGGCAACACCAAGTGAGGCTAGGGTTATACAGTCAAAGGAAACAACTGGACCTCTCGTTGTTGTAGGAAGTATAAAATTGTGCAGCCACTGGGAAAATATCTGGTGATTTCTTAACATCTAGGCTTATAGCTGCCGTGTGATTCATGAATTTCACACTTAGGTCTTTGCTGTCCTCAAAGTGAAAGCACATAGCCACAAAAAAATGGGCAAGAATGCTCATAGAAACTGTCAGTCAACGGAATATGGATACCTTACATAAACAAACTCATATAATGATACAGTGGAATTCCTTGTCCTGGTTTGCCAGCAAGTTTTTCCCAGAATGTTGGGCCTTTAAGTGCTAAACTGCTGAGCAAACCAGGGCGACTTGGCCAACCCTCAGCGATAAGGACTGGCCACGTATACACCCAGCAACGACCCTAACCTCATGCTGCTGAATGGAGCCTACAGGAGTGCATGTTCTGTGACTCCATAAATGTGAAGTTCTGGAACAGGCAAGATTAAATTGCCGAAAAAAAGCAGAGGGTATTTGTGCCTTGGGGGATTGACCGTTGAGGGGAGGCGTGTGTAGGAGCTCTGGGAGTTGATGGTCATATTCTGTGTGTGGGTAGAGATTTGGGTTGCACAGATGTAGACAGTTTTCCAAACCTAATCAATGCTGTTCAGTCTTCTGCATATCTGTATTCTAAAAGTATCTAAACCAATATGGAAATCTAGTTAGTAATAAGACATTACAGGGCTTAGAAGCGTGGCACAACTCTATCTGGGAATATGAAACTTCTGAAAAGGGGTAGAGAGATATCAGAGATGGAGACAGGAAAAGGTAACTCCTGAAGGATGGCTACTGAGTGAGTGAATGTTTTGCTTCCGATTGTACTTATTTTAGGAAGCTTTTAAACTTTTTGATAAGATTTGATATGATTTTCAAGGCTGCTGGATCCTTGTTTCTTAGTTTTATTTTTTAAGATTTTCAATTTTGCAATCCTTTGCAGGGTGAATCTTGCTTTTTTAAAAAAAAAAAAATGTATTTAGGACAGGGTCTACAGGGTATTCAGGGTCTCATTATGTAGATTGGACTCGTAGTGATCCTACTGTTTTCAGCCTCCCAAATGTCTTTTTAGCATGCCCTGGGGGCAGCA